TTCTGGCAGTAATTAATCCATGAGACCACTTGTGCGGCTGTGATGAATGCAGGCATTATATGGTGTAAGAAGCTATTAGTATCCTTTATTCTCTTGACATGTCTGATTGTTCGGTAGTCAAAACAGGTGAGGAAAAAGATGGACTGCTGTTGCAGTTTTAATTCAACCATGTTAACAATCTTGGAATGTAGAAAGCCTTATGCAAAACACAGATGCTTTATTCTATTTTTAATTTTTTGGTCATGCAGTGAGGCTTTGGGATCTTAGTTTCCCAACCAGGGATTGAACCCAAGTCCTTAGAGGCGAAAGCATGGAGTCCTAACCACTGGACTGCCAGGGAATTCCCAAAACTCAGAAGGTTTAAAAGATTTGCTTATTTAAAAATATTTGCAACACATGAAAAGTAGAAAAGCATAGACAAAAAAAAAAAAGCCACTAACAAACTGGGCTAATCAAAGTAGAACTACAAAGGGACACCTTTTTCACTTATTTGATGAGCAAAGTGAAACTTTTTTTTATAATACTATAGATAGTACTATCTATAATACTATAGATAGAAACACAGCACAGATATACTATGGAAGGCAGTGCCAACTACTTTGCTTTTTTAAAGGGCATTTTTGAAGTTTCTTATAAAGTTTTTAATTCATACACCTTTGACCCCAAAATGTTATTTCTGAAGATATATATTTACACAGACATACATATACACACATGGAAGGATGTTTGCTGCAACATTGTTTACAATAGCTAAAGACTGTCACAATCTCAATCTCCACCATTAGAAAACCTGTTAAAAATCATAATTGTAATAACAAAACCAGTGAATACAGAAAAACACACTTGCTTTCACCAAGTGATTCTATTTTAGGAAATTTACACAAAGAAAGTAATTGAATGAGTGTGCTGAGTGAATGTTACTGTATGAAAACACCGAAAACTTAGATGTCCTTTACAGAGAACCGTTCTATGTATTACCATGCGACGCTATGTGAATGTCAATAAGAGGAATAAGGTGACTATTCATAGAAGAGGTCCAAGATACAAAATGGGAAACAAAAAATAGGTTTCACAAGTTGAAAATATAACTTTTATATCAAAAAGTTTTTAAACACATACTTCAAAGTCTGGATGTTAAAACTGAAAGTATACATTAATCCACATTTTCTTGAGCCGTCCAGTTCTCAATACTTTTTTTGGTCCTTGCCATGTGCCTTGGGTGGGTCTTAGTTCCCCAAGGAGGGATGGAACCCAGGGTGCCGGCAGCGAAAGCGCCAAGTCTTAACTACTGAACCACCAGGGAATTCCTTATAGGTATTAATACATTAAACGTATGTGAAGTCACCGGATCTTAGTTGAAAGATGTCACATTTTTTGTGGCTATACAGCCTCCTAATACCAAGGATTGAGGCTAATCCAGGAGGTTTCTCCCAGGCAGGCCCCTTGAGTGCTAGTTTTTGTTTAGTAATTTCGTCTGTTGGGATCATGGACTCAGTACTTTCTTCAATTATCCTTTAATCCTGAGATTTTCTTACCTCTTTTTTCTTAACCCTACGACTTTCTGAGATCATCGCCATTTATCATGCTCTGAGAGACTTAATTTGCTCAAGGATACTCAGCTAGGAAGTGCCTGTACAATTATTTAGAAAGCCAAATGAGATGGCACCATCTCACCATCATCAGACAGAGAAAGCGGTTCAGGTTAAACCAGATCATTCCCGGTTCCTGGAGCCTTTTCCACCTCTGTGCCTCTGAAGCTATGGGTCCCCCCCCCCCCCACTCTGAGGGGCCTTTCCCTTCCGAGCCTTGCCTGTGCTACATGGCTTAGATAAAAGTGTTCCACCCCCCAAACCCCGGAAGCCCTCCCTGATTCTCAACGTTGGCAAACAGCATTTGGCACATTTGGCCGTTTTTCACAGCGGTGGCTTCTGAGCTTCGCCCCACAGCTTTTGCAGATTGACTAGGAGCACCCACTAAATAGTGTGAGAATGCTCAGTTGGGTCTGACTCTTCAACTCCATGGAACGTGTAGCCTGCCAGACTCCTCTGTCCATGTGATTATCCGGGCAAGAATACTGGAAAAGTTAGTGTCCACACAGCTGGACAACAGTCGTGTCCAACTCTTTGGGATCCCATGGATTGTAGCCCGACAGGCTCCTCTGTCCAAGGAGGTCTCCAGGCAAGAGTACTGGAGTGAGTTGCCATTTCCTTCTCCAGCATACTTCCCGACCCAGGGATCGAACCCTCCTCTCCTGCATTGCAGGCAGATTCTTGCCCAACCGAGCTACTCGGAAGTACAAGAATACCGGAATGGATTGCCATTTCCTACTCCAGGGGATCTTCCCTACCCAGGGATCTTACCAAGTCTCCTGCATCCGCAGGCAGATTCTTGACCACTGAACCACCTGGGAAGCCTGTACCCCAGGTGTTGATGCATAATTATGTTGCTTAGGTTTTTAAAAAGACAGTTTAGACTGAAAAGAATCATTTGCCAGTAGCCTGGTCTCCAGTGTTAGAGAGATACACCTAAGATCTTGGTAGGTCCCAGAAAAATCTCAGTTATCACAAAAAACACTACAGTACGTTCAGATGATAAAGACGATGATTTGCTGTAAAAATAACTGAAAATTCTTCCTATTGCATTAAAAATTTTTTTAATACTATAGAATCAATAAATTGTTTTTGTAGTGCTTGTACAAAACAGACCCTAGGCTGTGTGCCTCTAGTACTAAGGGGACAAAGGGCCCTAGCTGCTGCTCCCTCCCATTCTGGTTGGCCTAAAGAAACCTGGGATTTCTCTATAATCCTTACTTTTGCCGGGCTTGTCCTTTCCGCCCTGACCTCCACCCCTCCCTCTTTCTGAATTCTGCTTATCTTTTAAGATTCAATCAGGAACAAGACTGCCAAGATGCCTGCCCTCTAAGAACTTAACTTTTCGGTGAAAATAGACACATTTCAGATACTGATACAGGCTATGAAAAAACAAAACCAGGCCACAGGAGAGGGAAGGGAATGGTACTTTAACGAGGCCGGTCTGTCGAGGGTTCTCTGCTTCCAGGCCATTTGCGAGGAGTCTTGAGGAATGACGACAAGGAGGAAGAGATCCCAGAAAGACAGGGAACTGTGAGGGCAAAGGCAGTTTCCGGGGAAACGGAAAGAAGGTCAGTGTGGCTGGGCGGCCCAGGCCAAGCGGAGGGAGGGGAGCGCGGAGATGAACACAGAGGAGGCGGGGCCCGATCCTTCAGGGACTTGTGGCCCACAGTGAGGAGATTCCTCACTGATTTTGTTCCCAAGGTGATGGCTTTACAGCCAAATTTGCCTGTAGAAGGGCGTTCTGGCAGCTCGTGGGGCTTTTCCAAACCCCAGTGGCTCATGCTCCTGCGCCGCTAGCGTGTGACGGCCAGCTTTGCCTCTGTGCCGTCATCGCCCCTTGATAGCTTTGCTTCTCCCCTAAGTCCTGAAACCCCTGCGGACGCACCCGCCGCCCCCCGCCCCCACCCCGCGGCTCGGTGACCAAAGCGCGCAGCCCGGCTCGGCGGAAGGTGCCTGGGGCGATGGCGCACAGCTGAACCTGAAGTCTGCGCAGAACTTTCCCCCTGGAAGCGGGGCCTCCCACTCGGCGCGGGACGTGGATTCCGGCCGGAGGCGGCGGGGGGACTGGCGCGTGACGCAGGCGGCCGCACGTGGCCAGGAGTGTGCCGCTCGGGACAGGTGCGGGGGCCGCCAGCTCGGCACTCAGGCTCCCGCCCAGGGTTCTTCTCGGCTTCGCGGCCGCAGCGGTCTGGTCTTGGGACAGTGGCCCCGGGGGTGGGCTGGAGGCTGGCGCCTTCGGGGAGGCGGGCGCGCTTTGGTTGGGGGCGGCCCGGAGGGTCCCGCAAGCCTCCTGGACGCCCGGCAGGCCGGTGAGAGGGCCCGCGGGCCTCGCGACTCGAGAAGTTTCTCTTTCTTTATTTGAACGCTGAGGCTCAGCTTGTCTATCTAAGAAATGGGTGTCTGAAATTAACAGCTGGCAAAGCACTTTGCAAATCTGGCCTCGAGCTAGGCGTCTAATTCACTTTCATTTCCCTCCTCCTTCTGGAAGCCCAAGGGGCTGGAGTAGCGGGCCACCACCCCACCACACCCCTCCGTCCCAGCGGCGCGATCACTAGACTTGATTTTGCGTCCCCTGGGGCGTGGAAGCGCCGGAAAAGCCCCCGCGGGGTGCGGTCGCGGAGCCGGGTCACGTGACTCCTGTCTGCTGGCTTTGGGCAGGAGGCCTGTGCGCATGCGCACTTCTCTCCCCCCTTTTTTTGGTAGGCTCGGACGCAACCACTGTCAGCTCCTCCCCCTCCTTCATCGTCCTGACATTCACTCCCTTCCCCCCGCCCTTTGGTTACGTCAGGCGGACAGGCCGACTAACCAATCACGGCGCTGCATTCATAGGCTGGCACGCGGAACCGGTTGGATCGGATCAATGGGGGCCCTTGGAGCGGGCGCGCCCCAACCGGGCAGGGGAGCCGGGGGCCGAGTGGGCGGTGCTTCCTTCAGTCAGCATGTGGGCGGGGGAGGGCGGAGACCAGCAGCCGCAGAGGCGTCGACGGCGGCGGCGACGACGACGTTCCTCAGTCTTCGGGGTGGGCTCGGCGGCGCAAGCCGGTCTGCGCGCAGGGCTAGGCGGTTAGCGGCGGCAGCGGCCCTAGGGAGGCCGCGGCGCCATGGCTGGGTGGTAGACGGGCTTAGGCCGGCGAGGCAAGGGGAAGCGGCGTTGATCCGGTCCGCGGCGACCTTCGGCAGGGCCTGGGGGTGGGGAGCCCCGGGGAGGGGGTCGTCTCGGACAGCGCGGGGCCACGGGGCGGGGCTCCTAGGCCGTCGGGGTGCAGGAGGCCTTGGCCGCCGCGAGGAGCCGCCGCCGCCGGTCGCTGGGCCCTGCCGCCGGGCCGCTCGACGACGACGCTCCCGCGGGGGCCCCGCCTGAGGAGGACGCGGCCGCGGCGGCTGCGAGGCCGCGGAAGGCCGCGGAGGATGGAGGAGCGGAAGGAGGAGGGCGAGGCCGAGATCCAGGAGCACGGGCCCGAGCACTGGTTCTCCAAGTGGGAGCGGCAGTGCCTGGCCGAGGCCGAGCAGGACGAGCAGCTGCCCCCGGAGCTGCAGGAGGAGGCGGCGGCCGCCGCGCAGCCCGAGCACAAGCAACAGAAGCTGTGGCACCTCTTCCAGAACTCGGCCACCGCCGTGGCCCAGCTCTACAAAGGTGAGGGCCGCCGCTGCCGCCATTTTGCGCCCCCGCCCCCGCGGGGCTGGCCGGCGGTCGGCGGGGGGACCGCCCCGGGGTCGGGGGCTCCGGCCGTCGCGCCGCGTCCCCGCCGCCCCCTCCCCGCAAGATGGCGCCGCGGGAGGCGGGCCCTCGGGAGGGGCTCGGGGCGGGGGGGGGGCGGCCGGGGCCGGGCTCGGGGCGGGGTTGGGGGGCGCCCCTGCTTGGGGGCCGCTTCCCCGGCGGGGCTCGGGAAAGCGGGTCCCCTGCCCGCTTCTGAGGCCGGGTCGCCGGCGCCCCCCGTCCCCGGGGCCGGGGAGGGCGAGGGAGGAGCCCCCGGTCACAAAATGGCGAAGGGAGGAGGCCCCGGGGCCCTATTGTGCCGCAGCCGGCCTCGGGGCGGGGACTGCGAGGGGCCGCCTCCCTCCGCCGCGCCTCGGCCCCGGGCTGCGCCCCCCTCGCCCCCCGCCCAGAGGTCCGGCTGCTACCCCGGCCACCCCGCCGCCGAGCCCCCCCCTTCTCGTCTGGCCCACCACCCCGCCCGGGATCCCGAAACTTGAACAAAATGGCGAAACCTAATATGGCCGTTCCCGAGTGATTGACGCCCAAGTTTCATCTCTTGTTCTCTCTTTTTCTGTCTTTGTGTGTTTCTGTGTGTGTGTCTTTTTTTTTCTCCTCCCTCTTCTTTCGTCCTTTTTCAGACCGGGTGTGTCAGCAGCCAGGACTTTCTCTGTGGGTTCCCTTCCAAAACGCAGCTACCGCCGTCACGAACCTCTACAAAGGTAAAGAGAACCTGCGGCCTCGCCGTTGACTGGGAAGGGGCGGGGGGGGGGGGGGAGAGGGCAGCCTGCGTCCGGGTTTCAGTCGGGTGTTCTGAGTGCAAGGGCCTCCTCGGTCTCGATCGCCGGAGTATTTCTTGCCCCTGAATCCAGCCACTTAAGTTTCAGCTTGCAACTGGAGGATTCCGCTGGTGTTATGTCATCTCCAGATAACGGGGTCTCATCTGGGGTCGTTTGGCTCCTTCGCTCGCATTTGGCGGTGTCTGGGGTACTCTAGGGGGCTTCCCCGATGGCTCAGTGGTCAGATGCAGGAGACGTAGGAGACTCGGCTTCAGTCCCTGGGTCAGGAAGATCTGGAGAAGGAAATGGCAGGCCACTCCAGTATTCTTGCTTGGAAAATCCTCCTGCACAGAAGACCCTGGCAGGAGCCATAGAGCCACAGAGGTGGACACGACTGAGCACGCCTGCAAGGGGCATGCTAATGTCATCACTGACAGGAGGCTTGCTGCGCGTGAGACCACCTACCAATCCCTACCCTAGATTCCAAATGGCAGCAGTGCCCAAGTTGAGAGGCCCAGCACTCCAACCTTCCAGACGTGCTGTTTGGGCATCCGGGGAAGAAGAATTTGTCTCAAGGACAGAGGTGGGAGGGACACTTGTTTCTGGAAAAGGATCTCGTGAAGGGCAGTTTCCTGCAGGCCTTGCATTTAGGTGCATTGAAAACTAGCTAGTTGGAATAATCTGTGCTCACATGAACATGCTGTTATTCCCTAGCAACTGCATCAAATATTTGCTTTCAGAGCTAACCTATTTGACATCTCATTGTAGGTAGGAAATCTGATCAGTTTGAGTTGATTTGTGTTTTTTGGTAGTCCCTTTATGCAGTTAATCCCGCCCCCATACGTGCCTGAATATTCTTGGCCATTGCACTCTCAATAACAGTGGGTTTAGATTTTGTGTATTACTCGATTTTTGAAGATTTGGAAATTTGGGTTTGATTTTTGGCAAGGTTTCTGTGGAAAAAGGAATTGAATTTGAGTGTTAATCTTAGTAAAAATGTAATTAAGTGCTTTTAAACGGCTAGAAACTGCTGATAATTGCAATAGAGCTTTGTGCATTTCAGAATTCTCAAACTAGGTTGAAACAATCTGTGGAGCAGACTTGATTCTCAGATTTTCCTTCTTGTGTAAGAATGAGCAAATTAAGATAGTATTCTTTAGGGGAAAAAGTCCTTTATTTTGGATTTCCTGGGTAGATCTTGCAGTTTTTTGGGATGGTAATATGAGAATGTAAGATTAAACTGGTGAATGAAATGTTAATTTCAGGGAATGAGGAACTAGTAGTCCAGGCTTACTGAGAAAAAAGGGGAACGATTAAATGGTGTCCCAGTGGTCAACTTTGATTTTATGCAGCTGATTTGCTTAAATTTTGACTTTTAGCATCCGTTACTATTGGAGAGTTTTGAACATCCTCTGGAATTGCACTAGGTTTCACCCAAACAGGAAATTTTGAAATATTACTTGAAGCTCATTTCTTGGAAAATTCCAGTTTCTGGGAGTATAATTTGCATACAGTAAAGATCATTCATTTAAGTTGTATAGGTTGAATTTGACACTTTGTTAGTAAGTAAGATATATCTATCCCCTCAACCTTGCCCCTGGCAAGTACTGATTTGATTGTTGTATGTATGGTTTTTTGTTTTTTTAATTTAGTAAATAGAGCCGTATAACGTGGAGCCTTCTGTGACTGGCTTCTTCCACTTTGCCTGTTTTTGAGATGCTCCATTGAGTTCACATTGCTGGTATTAACAAACAGTTCAGTGCTTTTTCCCCTTCCTGACTGGTGTTCTGTTGTGTGGAGGTGTCACAGTGTATCCACTCAGTTTTAGTGGTTATTTTTTAGTTTAAGTCCTTTTTATGTGCCAGGCTCTTTGACTCGACCATACACAGATATGAATGGTCTATGATTTTGGTGCTTTTGGTGTGCTCCTGGAATGTATTTCCTTAGGACTATAGCCGGCAGTTTTTTTTTAGTGTTAATTCTTCATATAAAACGGACTCAGAAACTGAACTCCGAAATAATCCATAATTTACTTGATTTGAAAATGCTTCTTACAGTGTACTAGTTTTTCTTTGTTGAGAAAACTTGATGAAACACATTGAATTCCTTTTTAAACAGACATGAAATTCTTGGATTATTGCAAATGCTAGATTGTCAGTCCAGCCTTAGTTTTATTTTTTTATCCTGTTTTGTAAAATGAAACACACCCCCTTTTACCTGAGGAGTGGTTAATTGTGGTTTGTGGAATTTGGTTGTGTAGCAGCAATATTCTTTGTTTAGCTGATTGAAGGAAAGTGGATGAGCTCTGCAGATCCTCACATTCTTCCTCCTTTTTAGGGTGTGGTCTTCAGAGAACAAGAATGCAGCTGATTTAATAATTGAGCACTTTAAATAGAATCAATAAAATTAGCAAGGTAGTGTCACAGTACATGCAGCTGTAAGTAGTGATAAATTTAGTCACAGTTCTGATTCAATATCTAAATGTAATTCCTAGGAGAGAGGTGGGTGGGGAGACGGTTTTGAGGGATCCCTGTAAATGGACAGTGCTCTTGTACTTTGTATGATTAAGCACTTATCTTACAAGCTAAAAATGGCTCATTTTGCCTCCCCCAGCCTAGGGAGAGGTTGGCACTTTTACTAGTTTCTTGGTAACAGCTACAATGAGTGCTTAGGAAAGTCAGAATGAGGTAAAAGTCTAGCAGAGGACCCCTTTTGATTGCTTGTGGGGTTATGAAACATGGAACGTTCAGTCGGTTTGGTTACATGTGGCTGGAGACTTGGAGGAGAGTGAGTTGGGGCGTCCTTGGTGTGGACAGAACTCAGTGAAATGGAGTGCATGCTTCCTCCCACTTCACATACTAAGTTGGGTCAGACATGGGCATCCTTGGAATGATGAAAAGGGAAGAACATTCTGATGACTGGTGGTTGTTTTTACTTTGACTTGGTAAATTTAAAGGAAGTGCTGTTAAATATTCAATGGGGTTGTGTCCCTGGCTTAGTATATTTTTTTGATACCTACAACTAAAAGGGAGTGAAGTTACTAAGGTTTTTAACTTAGTCCAGGTTGATGCTTACCAGAGAACTGCTTGGTCAAGCCTGTTTGCCTCTTAAATCCACCTCCCGTTTCCTTGCTGACTGGTTTCTCTCTCTCCTGAATCATTAATTCGAAATTGCTTCTGCTGTCAGTGGAGGCTGACGCTGGTGGCTCTCTTCTCCAGAACAGAGCTGTGCTGTGGAGCCTCGTGGTCATCGGAGGTGGGCTCTGGGCTCCGCGGGCGCTGCAGCAGCTGCCTGGGAGCCAGTGCTCGCCTGCACCGCTTCTCACCCGTTCTTTGTTACTGCTCTTGGATTTATCGTGTCTTTTCTGATTTTTGTCTTACATTAAGCTCCTCCGCATTTTAAAACTGTGCCTGAAACTTGAGTTGCATACTGACTTCTACCATATATGTTGAGATCTTATGATATTATTTATATTAAAGACATCTGTGGTTTTCTCCTTGCACAGCTTTTTTCCTCAAGGTGTGAATCTAGCGGTACTTGAAGAAGGCCAGGAGCATTATCATGGTGTCCTCTCCATGATGATTCTAGTTCAGATTTTAGCCTGTTGTTTGTACTTAGTTGTATGACCCTGGAGACAGATAATGGAACAAAAACTACTTCACTATAATTGCCTTCATTTTCTCAACTGCAAATAGGTTTAAGTACCCACACTTAGCAACCAAGCTCTTAGTATAGCATGTAGTGAGTGTTCAAGCGAGGACTGTGTTGGTGGTCACAAACTATGTGTTGGTCCTGTTTTTCAGATGATGTTTCTGGCTGTGGGCTGTGCTTACATGAAGGGAAGAAATTTCCTTCTGTTGGAATAAATTTGTGGTGTGTCTTCATCTTTCCCTAAAAGGGTGAAATGTAAATAGAATTGACAGGGGAGAAAAACAGTAGGATGCCCTTTAAAGTCCTTGGTTTTGCGACATCTTGATGCCAGATCCTCTATAATATGTTGTTCTCACTTCAGTGTGACCCTCTTGGGTTTGTATGTGAACTAAAGTGAACAGAACATACTGAAAATTTGTGGACAAAGGGTGTTTAAATAACTGGTCAGAGAAAGTATCATCTACCTGCAGGCAGATACTGAAGTTTGAGCTTATGTTTTGACTTTGGAGTTGGTTTGTAACTCTCCTGCTACAAAAAACCATTGAGTTTTGAGACTGTTGGGGATTCCCCTGGTGGCTCAGACAGTAAAGAGTGCGTGCAATGTGGGAGACCTGGGTTCGATTCCTAGGTCAGGAAGATCCCCTGGAGAAGGAAACGGCAACCCACTCCAGTATTCTGGCCTGGAAAATCCCATTGATGGAGGAGCCTGCCAGGCTACAGTCCATGGGGTTGCAGAGAGTCTGACAGGACTGAGTGACTTCACTTTTCCTCTGACAGTGTTCAAAACATCTTCGTATGGATTAAGACTGAATACCCAGAGTCCCGTTAAGCAGCAGTCTCAGTCATTGCTGTTACTGTTTCTCTGTGAAGCTTTACAGAAGACAAGTTGGTTTCTTACGTGTAACTTCTCGGTGAAAGAAGGCTTTGGCTGCAGAGACCAGAGGATGAAAGTCAGCCTGGGCACAGACGGGCTGCTCTCCAGCTTGAAGCCTGAGGGTGGGGGTCCTGACTGCACCCGGTGGCTCAGGCCTTCCTCCTCGGCAGTGCTCCCCTCCCGTGTGTGGGCCTGCCCCTCTGGGCTTTGTCGTTAGGCTAGTGTCAGCATGGTAGCCCCTGGAGAAGGAAATGGCAACCCACTCCAGCATTCCGGCCGAAAAATCACACGGTAGGATAGCCACAGTTCGGGGGTTGTACAGATTTGAGATTAAACCACACGTCTCATCACTTGAGCCAACGTGGAGGAAACTTTCCCCAGAGCTAGCCAAACAGACGTGGAATACCTTTAGGAGAGGGAGGACACAGACTGGATGGCAGGCAGTGAGGCCACTCTCATCCTCCTGGAGTCCTGTCCTTCTTGCTAGGTGAGGATTTAAGTCAGTATGTAAGTTACCTAGAAGGTGGTGTTTAGTTTGGATACTATGTTACTGAATATATAGAAATTACTTTCTTAAAAAAGTTGAAAGACAGGTTTTTTCGGACATGACTCATAATTTATTTCTAATGAAACAGGCAATATATATATATTTTCCTAGAGCAGAGTAGTTGGTTAGTGCAGATTTAATTCTAAGTTCAAATGTTATGTAGTTGTTAGTGGAAATGTGCGTTGGTCTATCTGCTATTTTCTGGTTTGTAGGTCCTCTAAGGAAATGGAAGATGGCTTTTCTGTTGTTGAGGAAGAAACCTATTGTAGAAAGAACTTTTGCTGTCTAACTTTGGGTGAGGCCCTTTGAGCCTCAGTTCCAATTCCTTGTTAATGAAATTGGGCTATCTGCTTTGGTTAACTCATATGAAGTCTCATTATGTCTGTTTCATGTAATAAAGTTTTGTATTGGGTCTTCATCTCAGAAATCATTGATCCTTTGACTGCTGTCCCTTGCTAGTGGTGGAAAAATGAGACTAATAAAAACACTTTGAGTTCAATCAGTGTCAGCTACTTTTGTTGTTCAGTTGGTAAATCGTGTCCGACTATTCGACCCCATGGATGGTAGCATGACAGGCTTCCCTGTCTTCCACTATCACTTTAGTTATTATTTCAGCTACTTAATGTAAAAACTCTTAATACGAAGCAAAGATGTCTACTGTTTCTTGTATGAATCAGTTTGTTTCTTGAATATGGAAATGAATGTGTTGTGATTAAAGGTTAGATTGACATTCTGATGCCCTTGGGCTTTTCCTTAACCTTCATGCTATGGCTGTTTTCTGCAGTGGCTTTGGCATAAGTAAAATAGTGGTGGACACAAGACTGTCCACAGCTTTCTGTGCTCTGCACTTCTAGAATTTGGTGGTCTAGTTGACAAAGTTCAGATGTATTCAAAGCAGTCTTTGGCCGAGAGCTTTCTGGAAGCCATCTTTGAGTGTTTATTATCCTACTAGACCCTAAAGTAACCTGTGATTAAAAATCTAGTTATTCGTAAGATTCTCCAATAAGCATTTTATCTCTTCTGCTTAGTTCAGAATGTGATAAGGTTTTATTTTCAACCAAGTAACTCTTCAAAATTCTTCAGCATTTGTTCAGTTGCTAAGTCATGTTTATATATTCCATCCCATGGACTGCAACACTCCTGGCTCCTCTCTCCTCCCACTATTCCTGGCATTTGTGCAGATTCATGTCCATTGAGTCAGTGATGCCAGTCAACCATCTCATCTCTGCTGTCCTCTTCTCACCTTTTGCCTTCAGTCTTTCCCAGCATCAGGGTCTTTTCCAGTGAGTCGGCTCTTCGCATTAGGTGATCAAAGTACTGGAGCTTCAACATCAGTCCTTCCAGTGAATATTCAGGGTTGATTTCCTTTAGTATTGACTGGTTTGATCTCCTTGCAGTCCATGAGGGAGTCTCAAGTGTCTTCCCCGGCACCACAGTTCGAATTCTTTAGCGCTCAGCCTTCTTTATGGTGTTAAAGAACTACAGTGTCAACATGATATTCTTGGTTTAAGGAAATGACTGAGATTGGATTAGTTTATGTGGCAGTGTTTGACTTTGGCTTTCAGGATATGCTGTAATGGTGTAAGACCAAATTTATGCCCAGACAGTGCAAAAGCATGTACCTGAAGACATTAATGTTCAGTCTGCTTTTCTCCTCCTGCACCTCTTAATCTGTAAGAGTCTGTTTACAAAGTGCCCAGTGTGTTCTTGGGTGGTTCTGATGTTGAGACTTGTGCAGAACTTTTGGAGATGAAATGATTGGTCAGTATTTTAGGAGGTTCCCAGCTTGTTACATAACTGCTTTTAAAACTTTGAATATTGAGTTTTCCAGCTTTGTTCAGCTCTGTGATGAAAGCATCAGCCCTTTGCAGACCTGACTTTTGGGATTTCCTCATGTGTTCAATCAGAACAAATCGCAGCACTTTATTCCCAGGATGTCAGGTTTTTGTTTTTTAAAACCGCCTCACGTGGTTCCTTCCTTTGGCTCTTGAGTTTTGTATCAAGTTCAGCCTTTCTTCTTCGCTGTTTTGTCAGGTGTACGTTTACATGCCTGGTTCATCTTACTTTGTGTTGTCCGTGCTTGCTTCAGACTTGTTTCTTGTACTCCTTTCATGCTTTCAGCTTCTTCCCTCTACTTCGAGTTCTGGGCTTACCCCCATTTGGTTCTTGAAAAATAAAACCTCTTGGGTCATTCTTTGTGGAAACAGAAACTTCTCTGTTTACAACGATGCTCTTGGGGCAGGTTTGTAGAAACCTGGTTCTTGCAGATGCATCACACTGGACAGCTGCCCTCATTTTTGTGGTCGAGTGGGGTGGGTTTAGTTTACTCCATAACTTAATTTCTCTGAAAAGTGCTTCCAACTCTTTCACAATCACTTAGCGTCTACATGCAGTCTTACAAGGTCATTTTAGAGATTATCCACCCTTTATCTAAGGTTGGCTTCATCTGAGTCTTTAAGAGCTGGGAAGGCACTTATCCTTGCAAATGGACTTTTAAATGGGGTGCACGCTTTGTGGATGATAAAAGGAGAACACGGCACTGGTTCACACTAACTCGGGCATCTAGCAGTGAGACCGCAGAGAGCATTCAGGAGCAGCGTTATGTCTGCAAGATGGGAAAGCGGTGATGGACGCCGGTATTTTCTAGAGTGCTCCCATGACCAACTTGTGCCTTTTTTTTTAGCAACAAGAACTGATCATCTGCTAAAGAATAGGCCTTATTATAAAGTTCTGTTTGTGCTACCCTGTTGCCTTTTTTTTTTTTTTTTAATTATTTGTGCAGGGTCTTAGTTGTGGCATGTGGGATCTATCTAGTTCTCCAACTAGGGAATGAACCCCAGGCCCCTTGCATTGGGAACCCAGAGGATTTACTCCCTGGACCACCAGGGAAGTCCCCATCTTTTTTAATAATGCAAATTCACACAGCTTGGGAGCCCCTGTGATGTTTGGGTTGTTATCTTTCTGGGACACAGCTCTTTATTCACTGGTTTGCTTATCCTTTCAGCATCTACTTTAGATACAGCAGATAGAATTAAAATCAAAGCCAGGAAAAGTAATAGAGGAATGATTCTGTGTGTTAAGTGAGAATTCATACTTGGGGAAAGGAACCATCTTCTCTAATGTTGTTAAAGATGTATTAGTGATTTTCCTGCTAACGTAACAGCTCAACTAAAAATAAATTACAGTAACTTAAATTACCAGGTATTTTTCTTTCAGCTGTAAAGCCACTAAAGGGCAGGCATCATGATTTTTTTTTTTCTTTTTTTGTCTAGGGACAGGCCTCATTTTACTGAAAATTTGGGTTTAGTGTGTACAGGGGGCAGTGTCTACAGGGAGGTGAGGAGACTAGTCTGAGAGGTTTTGGGACAGGGTCTTTCGGGCATGGTTAGAAGTTAAGAAAACTGTTGGGAACTGGAAGCAGAATGAAAACATTCCTAGGAAAATGAGTGTGGCTTTTTGTTTCCACAGTGCTATTGGGTTTTGGTGACTAGTCAGTCAGTATTATTTTTCTCTAAAATTCTTAAGATATTTGCTACGGCTTTTGTGTGTGTGTGTGTATTTGTGTGTGCAGTCATGTCCGGCTCTTTGTGACCCCTCTCCTCTGTCATGTGGGATTTCCTCTGGCTCTATCCATGGGATTTCCCAGGCAAGAAGGCTGGAGTGGGTTGCCATTTCCTCCTCTAGGGTATTGTCTAACTCGGGGATTGAAGCCACGTTGTTTGCGTCTCCTGCATTGGCAGGTGGATTCTTGACCACTGGAAGCCCTGCTCCTGCTTTAGTGTTCCCAGTTCTTGGTGCTGAGCCTGTCACTAGGAGTACATATCTGAAGTGATATAGTACTCACAAGAAGAGCACAACCTGAGTGATGGGTGGCAGTGTTAGTCATCTGTTGAAGGATATGAATGCGCCTGTGTAGAGTTTCTGAGACACGACAGCGTAACTTAGTGGTTGAGACCCACAGACTGGACGAAACATTCCAGGTCTTGAGCTCTGCGGTGGTCAGCCGCTGCCCGTTTCCGCAGTTGCAGTGAGGGCACAGCAGTGCAAGGCATTTGTGTACCTTTTTTCTCGGGTGAAGCTGGGCAGAGTACCAGTAAGCGTTTAGTGATTTACCCATTGCTAGCATTGTTAAATAAGCTAGGTTGCTTAGATTAAGGAAGCTTTTTAAGGAAACACTGAAATGGTAATACTTTAGCTAATGATTAGTCCTGCTTTTTATCTGATTTTTTTTTTTTTTTTAAAGAACAAGACAGAAGTTCCAGGAATGTGTGATGTGTTTTACTGAATTTAGGCCGTTGTGATTAGGTGTCATGTGTAACATTTTAAACATGAATGAAGTTCAATGGAATAGATTACTGATAGACTTAAAGAGCCTCCTACTTAATGATACTCATTTTGGTGAATTTGTAAAATGGTTTTCTGTAGGAGGGAAGGCACCTTGGCTCTACTGATGATCATGTATCTTTTTCTTCTTTTTTTCTAACAGAAAGCGTGGATACTCATCAGCGAAGTTTTGATATTGGAATTCAGATTGGCTATCAGCGACGCAATAAGGATGTGTTGGCTTGGGTTAAAAAGCGCAGAAGAACTATTCGTAGAGAAGATTTGATCAGCTTCCTGTGTGGGAAGGTTCCTCCACCACGAAACTCTAGAGCTCCCCCAAGACTGACTGTAGTGTCCCCTAACCGAGCTACTTCAACGGAAACTAGCTCATCTGTAGAGACTGATTTGCAACCCTTCCGGGAAGCCATAGCTCTGCATGGTAAAGCCGTTTAAACATATTTCTTTGGAAAAATGGTTAAGAGTGTGTCTGTGGACCCAATTTCACATTTAGGTTTAGATCCAGATATACCATCTGTTTTTTGTCTATAATAGTAACTACTTGCTCTAGAAATGTTTAAATAGAATGTAAGCTAAGAACTTACATGGGCAGTTTTTGAATGTTAGCCAGCCTATCCTAAAAACTGTTTCTAGAAAGTTAGTTTGAGCTGATTGGTGTTAATAATAACTGCATCTTTTGCAACATTAATTAGAATTTATTGCTTTACACTTCTGTTGTACATACTCTCTTACTCTTCTGAGTCAGAGGAAGTTTTTGTGTCTTAAGAATTCTGTCGCATTTATAATGGCCTGGAGAGCCTAGTCAGTGACAGGCAAATAAGGCAGGTAACTGTCTTGCGGGAGTTCTCATGGGAACTCCCTTTGTTAGCTTAGGTTATTAAGTGTGCCTGTAGAGGGTGAGTGCTGATGGACCCGAGAAGGAGAGGACAGATGTGAGAATAGTTGGGTTGACTTTCCTTACGTCTGATGTCCTGAGGACCTTGCTTGATAGGACCGTTAGAGGACAAGTCCATCTCCCATCTCCCCAGGCCAGACCTGCCGTCAGATGGCCTTCTTGGCTGAAGGGTTTAAGTCCTACTGGAGAAGCCTGGGGAATGTACTCAGTAAGTCTGTTGTTGCTTGTTCTCTAATACAAGCTTCCAGATAGAAGTGGGAGAGGTATTCTATAGGTCATTCAATACTGTTGTAAAAATACAGTCACAGAATAACAAGACTTGGTGTTGAATCCAAGATGAAAACATGGATTGTGCAAGTGACTACGCAGATAGCAGTCATTAGTGAGTTAGGTCATGAGCCTTGTTAAAAGTTAACATTTCTGGGCCAGTGTAGGTCATCTAAAATAAAGTAACCTGGTAATAAGAAGTGGGATATATACAAAGAGCTTCTGTATCATCGAAGTTTTAATGCTTACAGAGATTTGTTTTCTCTCTGTCAAGCATTGCTTCTTTATACCTAAAATGCCATTCAGAACATGGACTTGGGAAAAGTGTTGTTATTCCCTGTCCTGATTGTGAGTTTATGATGAGTTAAAAACACAAAAACATTTTATTGCAAAAAAGTCCATGATGTATGGATGCAGTAGTTAAGACTGCTTGCTGTTTCTAACATAGTGGAATTTTTGAAACTCAGGCAAAATAGAGATTGATCTGTTCTATTGAATTAAGAGTTTCACATCTTTTACCATTAAGTTTGGAAAAAATTACTAGAGGTGTACAACTTGTCAGATTAATTGTAGTGCATGTTAGTATTTGATGTAGTTGTGTTTCCTTAAGCATTTTGATTTTCTTTGTCATCCAGTGGATTTATGATTCATTCCATACTTCTAAGAGTCTTTTTTTTTCCCCCTGTATTATACTCTTACAGAAGACAGTTTGGAGGAAACATAAATGCCACTCTTGCTATAAAATCTTTACTGCAGTTGTACACATTGTAAAAAGGACAAGCCAGCAGCCCACCTCCCACATCTATTATATTCTCCAACTCCCATTACGTTTTCTTAAATTGAGTTTGTTAAACTTTGTGATTTATTATTTTACTGAACTTTGGGAGTTTTAGTGTAAGTTTAGGAAGGTACTATTTATAATTTTGACTTGTGTTTAAATTGTGATGATTTTAAAAAGTTTACTTTCAAAGCTATCTAAAAAATAACTTTCCACTTTGATAGATTTATGAAGTAGTGCCGATACAGAATACATTGGATTCCCAGCACTCATGCACTGAATTCACACAGTTGAAAGGTGAAGGTGCAGCGCAGTAGTAGAGCAACTTGTGAAGAGCATACAGAAACAAGAGTTTTGTGCTCTTTTGGTTTTAAAGGACATCCATGAATTGAGAATGCTAGTCTGAATTGAGTATTTTGAGTAATTTAAATGATTTCTAATAATAGGGCATTGTAAACTAAATTGTAATTTGGATTAATGGCTAACTTTGTAACCTGGTGTCCTAATGACCTAATTTATTGAATAGTTTGTAAATTGAAGTCAAAATTATTCAGATATTTTGAAATATATTTGGAAATATCCTAATTAGGGTGCATGCTTGTCAGAATTTGGTTTTGCATATAATTTTCATCACCAGATCTACAAAATGTGAGGTCAGATTGAAGTTCTTGGGGTTCTTTGGAGGGAGAGGCTACGTTTATGAAGTTTTGGGGCCCCAGGGGGAAGTAGGAAAAAATTGAGTCTGACTTTTTAAGTTTCTAATCAAAGCAAACATTCGTGTAGGAGGTCATGTTTGTTTATCTTTATCCACAGAGGACCTCGTGTCCTCACAAGAGAGTATTTTTTTTTTTAAATCAGCTTCTAAATTCTCATTTCCACTAATGCTCCCATAGATGCTTAAAATACGTTCTTTATTTGAAGAAAAATGGCCAAGACATAATTGTAGAGTATTTCATGTTAAGACAGTGAGGGTCTAATGATAAGGTCCTTTGATAAATACCCCTTATGACCTTAGACTCAAATATGCAATTGCAATGAAAAGTATTGGGTTGGCCACAGGTTCTTTAAATGAAACTTTTGGCCAACCCAATATATCAGTTAATAGTTATCAAACAGTTTCAATCAAAACTGTCAGCTAATGGTTACTGAGGTTTAAGGAATATAATCTAGTGCTTTATTTTGGCACTTGTTTGCAGCATATTTTGTTCATTTTCTGTGTACATGATATGTCTTCATTTGGATACTAAACTCACGAAAATCAGAGAAATGTATTTGCTGTGTTGATTTCTCCTTTTCTTAATCATCCTTGTGTTAAAGAATATTATCTTAAATTTACTGGGAACTGGATTCATAGCTGGCACCTTGTTTTTATGTAAACAGACTGCAGATAGACCAAAGATCATCTGGACCATTTTGTGGTTCCCTGCCTGTCTTCTGATTAGCTCTCTTAGTCATCCTTTCTCTTCTAGAAATTTTCCTTTTCTGGTCTTCTCATTAGGCTACTTTGATCTCTGACCTTTCAATGACTTAGGGGAATAGGTTACATTCCCCTGGATTTAGCTGTTAGCTACCTCCTGCAGTCCCTTTAAGGGATTTTTGAGTCTTAATTTCTAAAATTTGTCCTTACAGTTCAGATCCTCCCTCCAGACTGCTCCAGACCCTGTTGTGCCCTGGCCTGCATCTCCACCAGGGTGTCCCCAACTACAGCAAAAACATGTTTTTCCCTCATTTCTGCACTCAGCAGATGTGTATGTGGCAGATACTGTGCAGTCTGTAGGGAATATACGATTGACTTAGGGCACACTTGGATAATTCATTTTAATGTCATATGTAAGGTGTTCTGGGGTCAGAAAAGAATGTTCCACCGTGTGGCGTAGCGATAAGTTCAGAGAAAGCTTTTCTGGAGAAGGGGAGCCCTGGGCTCTTGGAATCATCTCCTGCCTGTTCTTGCTTCCCAGTCCTGAGTTGACCCATTCTCCAGTCCACCTTTCCTGTGACCACTCGAGTGATCTCTCTGCGCTTGTTGCTTCACTGAAAAATAATGTTCACTCCCCTGTGGTGTGTAGGGTAAAGTTAGAACTCAGCATGACATTGTAAGGCCCTTGTCAGTTGATCTGACCTTGGGTCAGGTTTCTTAGCAGTATTGTGTGTCATCATCTGAATACCTTCATGGTTTTTTCTAAGCTTTCTCTTCTGCCTGTTGATCCCTTCAGACTCATGGAACGTCTCCTCTGGGACGAAGCTTGCCTTCAGTCCCCCTGTGTTCTGGTCTTCCCTGAGCGGGGCATCTGCTTTCCTTGCCCATAGACTGGGGGTGTGGTGGGGCAGGGCTGTGTCTCAGAGCCGCTGGCTGTGACAGAACCTGAACTAGATGTGTTCTGAGCCTAACACAGGGTTCAGAGGTCTGTTAAGTCAACAGAGCAGAGAACTTTTACAGAGAGTTGAGGCTCACAGATTGCCTGGGTGAGTGCAGTTACGAGGGTGAGGAGAATGGAGGACAGAGCAGGTGTATCTTAGTACTGTTGCACAGTCAGCTCTTCACCCCGAACAGCTGAGACTTGGAGCGGGGCCTGAGGTTGATGAGGTACCATTAGAGCGGGCCTTTCAGTGTTAGGTCAGTACAGCGTCCTTTGGGGGGTGGGGGGAGGCTGTCCACATTTACCCAGGGTTATTGCCATCTTAAAGAAAGGCTTATTTGACTAAAATAGACCAGGTCAGTAAATGTTTCAATAGATATTCCAGATCTGTCTGGCTCCCAAATTCAGTTACCTCTATTTGTACATTTAGTGTTCCTCATACCTCGCCCCCACCCCCCACCCCCCACCCCCCCACACCCTCAGCAGGTCTTTAAGCTTATTTTTCTTTGCTAAAGGCATTAGAATGTACATGAGTTTGGTATTTCTTCCTGGGGGTCTTCCCCATAAGTCAATCTGGGTGCATAGGCTTGATGAATGGCTGGTGACCTGTATTTCTGGTTCGTTACAGCAGGAGGAGTATTCAGGCTTTGTGCCTAGGTTGCATTCCCAGTATGACCTTGGACAGGGTGGCCAGCCTCTCCAGGGCAGTCACCTCTGAGAAGGTGTGACGTGTGTTGTTTGTAAGGCGATACATAGAGTGAGAAGCCAAGCCCAGCACCTACCCTTTACACAGGTAAAGTGTTCTTTGCCTTCAGAGGAGAGGACTTCCGGTTAGTTCCAAGTCCTGTGAGCACCATGATGGTGATACTCCAAAAACAGGCCTGGAGCTCAGGTGGCCTTTGAGGGTACTTTGCCTCTCCTTTTAGTAAGAGTGGCCTTTTAAATGTGTAGTTAACTCAAAAGGAAGGGATAATTTAAAGTTAGTGTTAACTATCTATTTATATTATTACTTACTAAGATCTTGAGGTTGTTTCATGTTGGTATAAACTGGGGAGGTTGGTGGTGGAAAGATGCTAAGCTGATTTGGCTTGCCCAAGCTTCTGTTGTGTCTAGAAAGCCTTAGA